ATCTATCTATCTATCTATCTATCTATCTATCTATCTATCTATCTATCATCTAATCTATTTATGAGACTCCTATCTCATACAATGACTTTAGGACACACAGAACAATTCATGAAACATAGTTAAAAACTAAAAAAAATGCTATCATATTTCCAGCTTTAAATACTTGCTTTCGCTGATGAAGAAAGATTGGTTTTTCTTTGAACTTCGCCTCTACTCATGAGGGTAACTAATATAAGAGCAATCAACCTGGTGGCTTTCTTTCCTTTCTCCTTTCTTAGGACAAAGCTTTTGGTAGAAACACTTTTTGTGTTTAAAGCATCCTGGGATAAACCTTACCATTGCTATATAAGACTAGAAAAAATCTCTATTATACTTAATAGATTGTTTGGGATAAGGCATTTTCCTCTGTTGCTCCTTTTCTGTTCAGTTACTGTTTGTTTTATAATTTGACTCTGCTAGTTTCATCACACTCCAGATCTGGATGGGTAATTTTTTTTTTCTATATAGAAAAAGGAAGCTTGCTTGCATTAGTTCTGCTGCTAGACCAGGTGAAAAGAGATGCCTCTGCACTGGCTAGACTGTGCACTGTGGAACACCAGTGCTAAATCCACTATCTTTTCTTTTGTTGGTATTAATTTAAAATGTCCTTTTGTTTCCTCCTAAAGTGATCCAAATGCTGGATATTTTGTATCCTTGTTTTGTAAATATGAACAATGATTACTTAAGCATACTATTCATGTAGATTTTTCAAGCCACAGGTTGCTGCTGGTTTACTTCTTTCCTGTTTTCTGGAGTGCTTTTTATTGAATAGCGCAAATGTGTGTGAATTGTACTCCTTTGGATACTGGAAAAGGACAAACCACATAGTTAAGCATGTGGTTTTCAAATGCTTTCTTCATTTAGGAAGGCATTAAAATAGTTTATACTCTTTCATAAAAATTGAGGCTGATTTCTGGTAATAGATTGGTTGTAAACTGTTGTTGGATAATCCTACTTCAGGCTGCAGTTGGGACCTCTGATTACTGAATATCCATAGGTGTCCAAAGAGTAGCTTAGTTTTAAAAATGTATCCCAAGTGTTCTTAGCCATAGAAATTGCTAATATGTTTAAAGAATTTGAATAACAATACCACTACTATTTTTGTTGCATCCTAGATAGACTTGATCCGAACATTCTTTTTTTTCTGGGAAAATCTTGATAGTCTTTTTTATATTACTTTTCTGTTTTTTCCACCCTTCTCCTTCACTGTGGCTTCAGAGTGTTGAAATCCTATCGGTACGTACTGTAAAGGATCATTCATGTTTTTTTTTCCATTTTGGGCACCATTTACATTCTTTGTTCCTTTTTTTTACTACTCTCTCCTGCATTTTTTCTTGTCAAATTCCTTTTTAATAAACAAACTGATGGGAGTGATGAATGTGAACAAAAACAACAATCTTGTGCTTGTTTTCCATGCTTCAATCACATTTCTAAACTCTGTGTGCATGTGACCTCTGGATCCTTTCCCCCAAGTCTTTCATTATTGCATGGTAATACAAACATTTAAAGCACAAACAAAGCTGTAATTTTATTTATTTATTAGTGAGGAAGGAAAACTGTCTACCTCGCAAGATGCTTCTTGTAAATATGTGGTGGAAGAGAATGCAGATGTTGGAGAAGAAAGTCCTGTAGCTCCGCAGCCCACTTGCAGCAACCTGGAGCAGAGGTATCTATTGTTACCAAGTCATGTTTATATTGTGCACAGTGTATGTATATGAAATGAGAGATGCTCCATTCAATTTGTTTGCATTCCAGCAGATCAAAATTCAAACAGATTCATATTCTGACAAAACTCAAACCTAGAAAACGGTCTCTTGATCTCATCTCATCCCAACAGTGGTTAAATTGAGAATCCAGTCTGATGGTTAATCAACCATCCAACTTGCAGAAATGGACCCATTTTAAAAATTTACAAACACACAATTATCGATAAATTGAAGCTAATTGTTCATTACTGTCATCTATCACTGATCAATATTAATTAATTTGCAATCATTGGAGCCATGTATTTGTCTTTCTAATGCTAAACACCAAGTCTTTTGACTGGAAGTACATTTTCCTTGAAAGTCAACTCCTATGTGATACAGATAAACTTCAAAATATAAACATCCAATTAACACCTTCAGCTTAATACGCTACTCAAAAAAATAAAGGGAACACAAAATTAAGGCATCCTAGATCTGAATGAATGAAATATTCTTATTAAATACTTTGTTCATTACATAGTTGAATGTGCTGACAACAAAATCACACAAAAATTATCAGTGTAAATCAAATTTAGCAACCCATGGAGGTCTGGATTTGGAGTTACACTCAAAATTAAAGTGGAAAAAAACACTACAGGCTGATCCAACTTTGATGTAATGTCTGTAAAACAAGTCAAAATGAGGCTCAGTAGTGTGTGTGGCCTCCACGTGCCTGTATGACCTCCCTACAACGCCTGGGCATGCTCCTGATGAGGTGGCGGATGGTCCCCTGAGGGATCTCCTCCCACACTTGGACTAAAGCATCCCCCAACTCCTGGACAGTCTGTGGTACAACGTGGCGTTGGTGGATGGAGCGAGACATGATGTCCCAGATGTGCTCAATTAGATTCAGGTCTGGGGAACGGGCGAGCCAGTCCATAGCATCAATGCCTTCATCTTGCAGGAACTGCTGACACACTCCAGCCACATGAGGTCTAGCACTGTCGTGCATTAGGAGGAACCCAGAGCCAACAGCACCAGCATATGGTCTCACAAGGGGTCTTGGTACTAATGGCAGTTAGGCTACCTCTGGCAAGCACGTGGAGGTCTGTGCAGCCCCCTAAAGAAATGCCACCCCGCACCATTATTGACCCACTGCCAAACCGGTCACGCTGGAGGATGTTGCAGGCAGCAGAACGTTCTCCACAGCATCTCCAGACCCTGTCACGTCTGTCACATGTGCTCAGTGTAAACCTCCTTTCATCTGTGAAGAGCACAGGGTGCCAGTGGCGAATTTGCCAATCTTGTTCTTCTCTGGCAAATGCCAAACGTCCTGCATGGTGTTGGGCTGTAAGCACAACCCCCACCTGTTGACGTCGGGCCCTCATACCACCCTCATGGAGTCTGTTTCTGACCGTTTGAGCAGCCACATGCACATTTGTGGCCAGTTGGAGGTCATTTTGCAGGGCTCTGGCAGTACAAAGGCGGAGGTAGCGGTCCTGATGCTGGGTTGTTGCCCTTCTACGGCCTCCTCCACGTCTCCTGATGTACTGGCCTGTCTCCTGGTAGCGCCTCCATGCTCTGGACACTACACTGACAGACACAGCAAACCTTCTTGCCACAGCTCGCATTGATGTGCCATCCTGGATGAGCTGCACTACCTGAGCCACTTGTGTGGGTTGTAGACTCCGTCTCATGCTACCACTAGAGTGAAAGCACTGCCAGCATTCAAAAGTGACCAAACCATCAGCTGGAAAGCATAGGAACTGAGAAGTGGTCTGTGGTCACCACCTGCAGAACCACTCCTTTATTGGGGATGTCTTGCTACCTGCCTATGCTTTCCACCTGTTGTCTATTCCATTTGCACAACAGCATGTGAAATTGATTGTCAATCAGTGTTGCTACCTAAGTGGACAGTTTGATTTCACAGAAGTGTGATTGACTGGGAATTACGTTGTGTTGTTTAAGTGTTCCCTTTATTTTTTTGAGCAGTGTATATCTAATTGCTCATTAAAATAAAATATAATTAAATAAATTATTAATTTTACTGCATTTCCAACAATATAAATGCAGTGAGGTCATTGCTAAATTATGGCCTATATTTATTATTGCATGAATTATATGGCAATTGCTGACAGAATTACATGCAGGTAAAAGCTCATCATGTTGAGGAAAATTTTCCCCAATTTGTTCTTGTTTTCCAACTTTTTATTTTAAAAGAGGATTGGCAGCAGCAACCAATTTCTGAAATCTCAGTGCTGTGGCAGAAATTGGATCGGTAAAAATGCTGATATCCTATGGGAAAGATAAGCAATCTGTGGGGCCAAATTTGAAGCCTAAGCTTTATGTAGTGATCTCCAATGTGTCCTAGGTCATTTCCTGGGAAGTCAGGGAAAATTCACAAGGCAAATCTTTGTTGTTATGCTGAATTCTTCCATTTACTTAGCAAATATATCAGTGCCATAAGGTCTATTCCATGTTTTTAAACAAATCTAAAAGTAATTTGATTAACGTTTTTCAGCGTTCAAAATCATTGTGTACTCTTCTAACAATCTGATACTTCTTTGCTCTCCTTAGGACTGATCAACAAACCATTCTAGCAGAGGCATCTGTTAATGGCCCTGTATGATTTGTGATATTGACGGATTATAACTGAAGAATATGAACTGATTTCAAGATTTGATTCTTGAGGATTTCATCTAGAACCTATTGGAGCCAGTCACTGCTGCATTTAATTTCACAAGAGATCAGGACCAGCAACATTTATATTCTAGATTTTGAGACATTGTACAGAAATTCATAAGTGTAAAAATTGCACATTGAAGAATACCAAGAAATTTTTGCGTATGTTTATATTGTATTGTTCTAAATGATGGGTGATTGTGAAATAAGAACTTGCCACCCAAGTAACATTAGTAATGATACTATAGTTAAAAATGGCTGTAAGAATAGTTTTATATAAAAAAGTGAATACATAAATCTAATGTATTTGAGGCATACTATTTGACAATTAGTGACCAAAGTATGTAGCAATTTTCATAATTTTTCACCCAAAACATTTTTAAGTCTATTTTTCTTTCATTTTGGCAAAGAAATTGTTCAAATGCAATGCCCTTTAAATGTTTGGTTGCTTTAGATTTAAAACAATGATTTAAAAAGATTTTTTTGTGTTTGACATACTACAGCAGGCTTTCAACTGGTAATTGTTTTCTGTATTGTTTAAACCAGATCAAAATGTAAGTCTATCGGTAGAGATTTTAAGTATTTATTACTACGGCTTAGTTGACAGATTGATGTTACTGTAAAGCCATATGTTCTGTTAAGTCTTGTTTGCTTGAAACAATACCTTACAGGTGAAACACTAGAATATTTTGAAGTGCACATGGCTTGTTGTGTATTTTTAAGACTCACCTTTTTTAACCCATTCACCAAGATGTACTTTAATTTAGAGCATTACAAAATTACCCATTTTGAAACAATCTTCATATTTAAAACACTGTAATCCTTTTGACAAATCAAATAAATATAACAAATGCCCATGCTGCTCTTGTAATTAAAGTTCATATTTTAAAGATAAAATGTCTTTAAATATCCAAATTGGGCACTTGAGCATGTTAATTGTTATATTTTCACTGTTTTGATCTGTGTGAAGATTTCATTTGTAAGTTTTAAACCAGTTTTTTTCATAACTGGGTTGTGTATATATATATAGTGATTATGGAAACTAATTGTAATTTATAATTTTCTATGTCATAAAATTCCAGCCGCCTTTTCAAACAGAAGCAATATAATGTATATTGCCACATTCTTTGGTGGAAGGGTTAAAGAACACCTCTTGCACTTTTAGGTGCAAAATCCACTTTTCTTTCTTTCAAAAGAAGTTATTCATGTATTTTTACATCATATGTTTTCCTGACCAGTATTTAAAAGCCAAAAGGATATTCTAAACAATGGCCAATGATTTATTTTAGAAAGTGTCCCAAGCTATGTGCCTAATATTACATTGCATACAGAAATAAAAACAAATGTATACTGGTACTTTTATTTTCTCATTACTTCTGTATATGTACATGGCCATCATTTTGATGTTAGAATATGCATAATTGTGTGATCTATACAAAGAGGGTAAGAAATAATGAAATAAATTAAAGGGAGGAGTCAAAATGAGAAATTCAACTAAAAAGTAATTTATATCAACAGCATTCACTGTATTTTCTTTTCTTTTTCTTTTCTTAAACCTCATTTTCACCATGACAATGCATTTATCCGTACATGGTGCTTGCTCTTCAAATTTGATAAAGATAATTTTCAGTTCAACCCAAGGACTGTACACATCCACGTGGGCCTTTTAGCATAATATGAACATGATTAACTATGACAAGATTCTTTTCCAACTCAGTTTCGTCCATAGCTCACAAGTCCTAATGCCTCCAGTTTCAAATAGAAATTAGGTCCCACCACTAGTGGAATCATTCAAGGTATGATGCCTTAATTTCACATACTATATCACACATGTACAAGTTACATATAATTTGCCTACTAAACGTAGCATACCTTTATGTTACATTTAATGTTGTAAGCCTCCCAAAGAGTCACTTTGAAGCAAATGGTGGCAAACAAATTTAAGAACAGAATAGCAGAGTTGGAAGGGGCCTTGGAGGTCATCTAGTCCAAACCCCTGCATCAGCAGGATAACCTATACCTGTGATAGCGAACCTATGGCACGTGTGCCAGAGGTGGCATGCAGAGCCCTCTTCGTGGGCACGCATGCCATCACTGGCTGCTTTTCTGGTTCCCAGCACTGACCAGCTGATCTTTGTGCGCTGGAAACCTGAATACCAGATGGCCAATGTGTATATGCCTGCTGGAAACCTGAAGACCAGCTGACCTGCAGGCACATTAGCCAACCAGCTGGTCTTAGGGTTTCCAGCACGCGCGCACACATTCCAGTTTGGGCACAGTGCTGAAAAGGTTTGTCATCACTGCCCTATACCATTCTGGACAAATGGCTGGCCAATCTCTTAAAAACCTCCAGTGATGGAGCACCCACAACTTTTGAAGGCAACCCATTCCAGTTGTTGCTACCCATTTTGAGAAATACTGCATAGAAACCAGATTAAAGGGCCCTGATACCAAATAAATATTAGGATATTTTAGATGAATAGTAAAGAGACATCTAATTAGTCTTGAATCATGAAAAAGATGCTAAAATCTCACATTTGAAAAACCAAAAGATGAAATGGGTGCAAATAGTTATTTCAGTGGTATTAGGAGGAATAATTAAAACCAGCCACCTTAAGGACTAAAAAGTGCTGTTCTCTAGCTGTAAAATAACTTTCCCCTTGTTGAGAAAGACATTATAAAGGGTAACGATCACCTGTTAACTCTGACAAAAGGAACTGTGTTGGACATAACATGAAGGATGGTGAAATTGGCAATGCAGAGTAGCATCGAGTCAATACAAAAACACCTTGTGATTTTGTAACCGCTCTTAAGCTGTTACAAAACCAGAAGCACAATATTTAAGAAACACATGGCTATAAACCAGATTGGGGAGGGGGAGAAATCAATGTGTTGCAGCCCTAGAAGCAGAGTTACTGTCAATGTGACTATGAAATCAGAATAAAAATAGGCATGTTTTATGTCCTACCCAGTCTGATGGTGAAAGCCAACAGGAAGTTGACAGGAGCCTGGTTAGGGCAGTAGTAAATGCATCCTTGGACAAAATATGGTGCCATTGGTTCAAAAGAGACAATGATATAGAGGAGTAAAGGATACTCCATCGCTGGTTCTGGTCAGTGTTATTTTTTTATCATTTAGAATTGGCTTGTAATTATTCAACATACAAATCTTTTGGTTGCAGCCAGATAGAAATTAGATAGAAATAGGGGAAAATATAAGACTAAAAAGAAAGAAATCCAATGTTTCAGACATTCCTGTTCACATAAAAAATTAATGAACTATCAGAGAAATTAAAGTCATAGAGTCATTATGGAATTCATCACTGGGAAATTAATGGAAAAGCTGTATAAACAGATCAGCATTTAAGGTCTTGCTATCTTAGATTATTTTTTTAATCTAGCAACTGTTACCCATAGAGCTTCCCTGCTCTCCAGAGATTTTTTATTTGAAAACAGTCCACTTTATCCTGCAGCAAGAGGAGTCATACTGACCAAACACTATGCAACTACACCCAAAAAATCCTGGACACCCTGAGACTTTTGGATTTCTGAGATGCTATCTTTGTGGATGTCAGATGTAGAAGAACAGTTGAAGCCTTGCCTTTATGGGCATGCTACAGTGGGAGTGGTGTTCCAGTCAAAAACTTTTAGTTCTGGAAAATTTTTGACAACTTAATAGTGCACAAGTCCTGAAATCTCATATGTGCATCCCTTTAACTTTCCAAATCAATATGTTGGATCCATTTCTCTCTGCTTCTCAGAAGCTATCTTGGCTTTTTTTTTTTTAAAGGAAGACAATTACATTATTCTATTTAAAATTACAAGAGTTCTAACCTCTTTTCAGAATGATCTATGCTTGCAATTTGTAATGATAGAAATGGAAAAAATTGTTTCAGAACTGACTTTGCTACATTTGATGGCATGGTGAAGATACATTGTTTTAAGATGCCATGGATTTTTTATGCCCATCTGCCATTCTCTGCCGTCCCATTCTTCTATTCCCCTCAATCTTTCCCAGCATTAGTCCTTCCTTCTCATTAGGTGGCCAAAGTATTTGAGTTTCATCTTCAGGATCAGACCTTCTAAAGACCAGTCAGGGTAGATCTCTAGGACTGATGGGTTTGACCGCCTTGCAGTCCAAGGGACTCGCAGGAGTCTTCTCCAGCAGCATAGTTCAAAGGCCTCAATTCTTTGGCGCTCAATTTTTCTTATGGTCCAACTTTCACAGCCATACATTGCAACTGGGAAAACCATACCCTTGACTATACACTTTTGTTGGCAGGATGATGTCTCTGCTTTTTAGTATGCTGTCTAGAATTGTCACAGCTTTCCTCCCCAGGAGCAAGTGTCTTTTAATTTCTTGGCTGCAGTCCCCATCTGCGGTAATCTTGGAGCTCAGGAAAATAAAATTGGTCACTACCTCTATTTCTTCCCCATTTATTTGCCAGGAATTGAGAGGGCTGGATGGCATGATTGTAGTTTTCTTAATTTTGAGTTTCAAGCCAACTTTTGCATTCTCCTTCTTCACACGCATCAAGAGGCTCTTTAGTACCTCTTCACTTTCTGCCATTAGAGTGGTATCATCTGCATATCTGAGGTTGTTGTTTCTTCCGGCAACCTTAATTCCAACTTTTGATTCATCTAGCCCTGCCTTTCTCATGATGTGCTCTGCAAAAAGTTAAATAGGCAATGTGACAGTATAAGCCTTGCTGTACTCCATTCCCAATTTTGAACCAATCAGTAGTTCCGTGTCCAGTTCTCACTGTTGCTTCTTGACCCACATATAGGTTTTTCAAGAGACAAATAAGATGGTCTGGTACTCCCATCTCTTTAAGAACTTGCCACAATTTGTTGTGATGCACACAATCAAAAGCTTTGGCATAGTCAATTAAGCAGATGTTTTTTGGAACTCTCTAGTTTTCCGCATGATCCAGCATATGTTGGAAATTTGATCTCTAGTTCCTCTGACTCCTTGAAATCCAGCGTGTACTTCTGGTACTTCGTGATCCAAATACTGCTTGTAGGATTTTAAGCATAACTTTACTAGCATGTGAAATGAGTGCAATGATGCAATAGTTTGAACATTCTTTGGCATTGCCTTTCTTTGAAATTGGAATGTAAACTGACCTTTTCCAATCCTGTGCCTCCTGTTTTTTCCAAATTTGCTAGCACTTTTACTGCATCATCTTTTAAGATTTTGAATAACTCAGCTGGAATACTGTCACCTCCACTAGCTTTGTTGTTGCTCAGATTTCCTAAGACCCATTTGACTTCTGATTTTAGGATGTGTGGCTCAAGGTCAGTGACCACCCCATCATGGTTATTAGGGACGTTAAGCTCATTCTTGTATAGTTCTGTATAATTTTGCCACCTCTTCTTAATCTCTTCTGCCTTTGTTAGCTCCCTGCCATTTTGATCGTGTATCATGCCTATCTTTGCATGAAACATTATTCAATTTCATATTTCAATTTCCTTGAAGAGATCTCTGGCCTTCCCTATTCTATTGTTTTCTTCTATTTCTTTGCACTGTTCATTTAACAATGCATTCTTATCACTTCTAGCTATTCTCTGGAATTCTGCATTCAATTGGGTGTATCTTTTTCTTTCTCCCTTGCCTTTCACTTCCCTTTTTTCCTCGGCTATTTGCAAAGCTTCCTCAGACAGCAATTTTGCTTTCTTGCATTTCTTTTTCTTTGGGATGGTTTTAGTTGCTACCTCTTGTACAACGTTGTAGACTTCTGTCCATAGTTCTTCAGGCACTCTGTCTATCAGATCTAATTCCTTAAATCTATTTGTCACCTCTACTGTATATTCATCAGGGATATGATTTAGTTCATACATGAGTGTCCTAGTGTTATTCCCTAATTTCTTCAATTTAAGCCTAAATTTTGAAACGAGAAGCTCATGATCTGAACCACGGTCAGCTTCTGGTCTTGTTTTTACTGATTGCATAGAGCTTCTCCATCTTTGGCTGCAGAGCACATAGTCAATCTGATTTCTGTGTTGAGCGTCTGGTGTGATGTCCATGTGTAGAGCCGTCTCTTGGGTTGTTGGAAAAGAGTGTTCGCTATGACCATATTCTCTTGACAAAATTCTATCAGCCTGTGCCCTGCTTCATTTTGTATTCCAAGGCCAAACTTGCCTGTTATTCCGGTTATCTTTTGGCTTCCTACTTTAGCATTCCAATCCCCCATGGTGATAAGGACATCATTTTTTTGGTGTTAATTCTACAAGGTGCTGTAGGGCTTCATAGGACTGGTCAATTTCATCCTCTTCAGTACCAATGGTTGGGGCATAGACTTGGACTACTGTGATATTGAATGGTTTGCCTTGGATTCAAACTGACATCATTCTGT